GTTTTGTAATTTGACTTCAGAGAAACCATTTTCGATAGAATGTTTAGTGTACCTTTAAAACAATAACAAAAATTTTATGTCACTTGTTAGCATTCAAAGTGTATTTGAATTGAAGTTTATATCTTGGTGTAATTTTTGATAGAATTGCAAAATAGATGTTGCTGCACTTAATGTTGAAAGAAGCTGATATTAAATCTCTTACTGTGACAAATATTTTTGCAGTTGAGAGTTGTGTAGTTGTAAAGTGTAATATTTCATTAAGACTTGAATTAATGCAACATGACCTGTTCATTTTTTAATTTGTCATTATATGACAAATGTTGGTCAGGGAAAGTCAGGGAAATGAAAAATAAAATTTCAGTGGCAAACCTGAGGGAGGATCTCCTACTATCAGACCAAACCTCACAAAGAAATAATCTGGCCATGCTACTAGAGTTACTGACAATCCCCTCAGAAACAGATAATCCTTTGTCTGCCCAAATAGCAAAGAGGTCCAGTGTATGTGGTAGGCCAGTTTCATGACTGGGACAGTTTCATGGCTATTGTGGTAGCTATGAAATCCCAAGCAGTATATGTCAGAGTGACATCAGTGTGGAGGCTACCATGGAGCCTGACTAGATGCACATAGATTACTGTCCTAATGATATCAGTAGTCCTTTGATGGATGATGTCATTCTAGTTCTACATATATGTAACAAGATTTCAGCCAGTATGGAGAAACAAAATGGTTTCTTACTGGGAAAGGTGTCAGATAAGGATGCATTTTATTAACTTGTCTGTTCAATCAATATGCCAAGTGTATCATACAAAAATGGATTATATTCTATTGGAGGAAGAATAAAAATTATGGAAAAATATAAGGATTTCCCCTAGTACTTCAACTTGTCATAGCATTATTGGTTTTTTCCAGTAAGTCTTGTTTTCTCCCAATTTGTCCAAAGTACATAGTGATTTTAGCTTCTAGTGAGTTTTCACCTGATTTGATCGAGAACTCACTTAAATTGCCTTTCTGACACTTTACAGTATCTTTAAAGCTCTTCTCCATAATCTTTGGAGGGACGTGGTGGCACTGTGGCCACCTATCTATCTAAAATGGTTTCTCTGAAGTCAAATTACAAAACTGATAGTTTCGAAATTCCAGTAATAATCAAGTTAGAAATTAGAATATAAGTAAGATTTAAGATATAAAACTATCACTTCTACAGTTTTCTCTTTTTATTTTGTAACTCTTAGTTTGAGTTTCTCATCAATTGTTTCGTCTTCCATTTTGGCTTCTTCTCTCAATTTTTTTATTTTTTATTTTAGCATTTTCAATGTGTTAATTTGTCCCACAAATTTCTTCTTTTCTTCTTTCTTCTGAATTTCTTCTTGTTGCTTATGGTGTTTAGCCTCCAAGTGCTCTGTGTAGTGTGCATGAGCATGCCTGACTGGCTGCAACAGATTAATATAAATTACAACAGATGCAAGTCCTCCACAGTTCAAGACAACATTGTAACATTGTACATCTGATGTTGACAGGCAACTGTTTCTTCAGTTTTCTTTATCATCCAGCTTTCACATCTGCATACAGTGGTGCCCCGCATGGTTATGATAATCAATCCCATTGAAATCTCTGTTTAGCAAAATTGTCGTCATGGGAAATCCGTTTCCCCATTGGAATGCATTGAAACCCAGTTTAATGCGTTCCAATGGGGAAAATACCTCGTTGTCCAGCGAAGATCGCCCATAGGGAAGCCATTTTGTGAGCACCGATCAGCTGTAAAAATGACTGCCCTGCGAAGCTTGGGTCCGGAAAACACAGGACAGCCATTTTGCAAAGTCGACTATAGCTATAAAAATCATTGTCTTGCGAACAAACAGTTTGCAAAGCAGGGACCTAATCAACGAAAATCCCCTATTGGAATGACTGTTTTGCAAATCGCTATAGCGATCGCAAAAAGTCATCATGCGGATTCGTTGTTTTGCGGGGTCGTCGTCTTGCGAGGTACCACTGTATAGTTTTTGAGAATAGCTCTGATTATCATGGTCTCAATCTCTAGTGATGCATTCTTATACTGGAAGATTTTTTTCCTCATTCCTTTGTAGCTGCCCTTCCAAGTCTCAGTCTTCTGATTTATTTTCTGTAGTTTCCACTTGAATTGATAACTGAACCAAAACAAAGTAGTCTTTAATGATTTCAGTGTCTTCATTTTTAGGGTTGAAGTTATGAAATAGGCAGTGCTACAACCTGTTCCATGATCCACAGAATTCTGTGTGGAAGTATTTCTGGCAAATTCTGGGAATTGTGGTCCAAAAGAAATGAGAGTATCATGCCTTTTAGTCATAACTTGCAACAACTACTAAGGAAATTTTAAAAATAAAGTCCAAACAAAATATATTGTTGAATGGTTAGGAAGACAAGCATAATGGCTGCAGATGAATTGCATAACTTCAATCTTGATAATATATATTGCGCTTCCCTGGCCTTGTTTCCCTCATATGAGCCTGCAGTCCAACAACTCACTTGCTCATTGTATAGTGAAATGACAGTGTCTGGGTCTCTTCCCCTTCTCTGAACTTTTTTCACCACAAGAGTGCAGTGTAACTCAAATTTTGCTAAACACATTGGGAGAATTAGTCATTTTCTACCCTCTCTTTTCAACAAGTTAAAAGATTCCTTCTGTTGGCACGAACCTCCAACTGAAATATTGTTCTTCACACAATAGCACAGTCATTTGTGAGAATAAGATTCACATTTCCCAGGATAAATAATATTAAGTACATAGTTAAGTGTAAAATTGATTGTGCCCTTTATCCCTGTATCATTTAATGCTGTGTGTGAGTTTTTAAAATTTCCCTATTGGTGCTTTCTGGTCTTTTCAACTTTCCATTTGACCTTGCTGCAAGAAGCGGAGTGGGTGGACTCAGGAACTAGAAGTATGGGGCAGAGGAGAATGGAAGCATGGTTTGGCCATTGTAGTCCCCGAATTTCTACAGTGAGCATGGAAGCATCTGGTTTTAGTGCCACTTTATTATTAGCTTCCCCTCAGTTAAAAAAGACAGAAGTGAAACTGTAGCCAACATTAACATCCCTTCCCTTCCATCTCCATCTACAAGAAGATACACATCCCCATCTGTATTTTTCTTTGCAAATACATCAGTGTATTTGTACAATTGTTTTTAAAAGGAAGATTCATCCATTGGTGCCAAGAAAACATAAAAGTCTGATTGGTAGAGAATGTCAGGGGGGGGGAGAGAAGTTGGGCAAAACCAGTCTCCATATCCCCCTCATGCTTTTTGGAGCAGGCTGCTATATTGTAATATAAAATATATTTTTCCTGCTCCACTCCAGCCATGATTACATCTGTAGCCATTGTGCATTATTGAATGAAACGTTGGGAGGAAAGAGTCCACTAATGTAGCTGTTCATATTGGAATAGACATGTGCTTAGATAGATATCCTAGGGCTTGCATATTATTATTATTATTATTATTATTATTATTATTATTATTATTATTATTATTATTATTATTATTATTATTATTATTATTATTATTATTATTATTATTATTATTATTATTATTATTATTATTATTATTATTATTATTATTATTATTATTATTATTATTATTATTATTATTATTATTATTATTATTATTATTATTATTATTATTATTATTATTATTATTATTATTATTATTATTATTATTATTATTATTATTATTATTATTATTATTATTATTATTATTATTATTATTATTATTATTATTATTATTATTAT